GTAGCAATAAACTTAAGATGAAAACGATTGAGATTGATAACCTCAACACAAGCGGTTTATTGGTTAATCAATGTAATTAATTCCCCTTAGATTATTAATCATGAGATGCATGCATTAATAATCCAAGTTTACTACCGTGAAGGGACCGAATTAATAACAAGCGTATTAATCGACCGATTCTAGTATTAATATTTGAAACAAAACTAGTTGATCCTTTAAGTAATGTTCAAAATATTAATATGAAATATGAATAGGAATTAATTAATACTCAAGAAAGAATATTAAAGAAGATGAATCCTACTATAGTTAATATCAAGATGTTAACTAATTGTCATCTTAGTAACACTCCCCGATATTAACGTAGAGGAAGAAATAACTATTACTATAACTAATGTCAAGATGTTAACTAATTGTCATCTTAGTAACACTCCCCAACATTGATATAGAAATAGTATTTAAAGGAAGAATTAATATTCAAGGAAGAAGATTAAAGATAATAACTCACAACTTACAAATTCATTAAGCTTCAAAGGAGCAAAACCAAGATGGAAGAGTTTAGCTCCTCATTTGGAGACTAAACATGCTATAAAAATATAAAAGAAATACTATTCTAAACTGAGCTTAAGAGTATGGAAGAAGAGATTATTATTTGTGAAGGAAAATGGGGCTATTTATTGGTGTTTTTCAACACCTTTGGCCGGGTAACCGACCGGGTAAAGTGCCCACCCGACCGGATGCATGTCAAAATAAAATATCCTACACGTTCTGGCGATATTCGGCACGTTCTGGTGTTCCGGGTCAAGTCGGACCCGACCGGGTGAAATACCTCACCCGACCGGGTGATGTAATTTCCTGAGTACCTGCATCTGTTAAATCAGACCCGACCGGGTGAAGTGTCTGACCCGGCCGGGTCTGTGCACCTGGATATTTTTCTTCTTCTTTTCACTTCTTTTCCTTGCCAATAACTCTACTACTACTTTACAACTTACTAAAAATGATTAAAATCAATTACAAACAAATGAAGATGATTGCTTAAAAACTAACTAAAAACGGTAAACAATCCACACAGAATAAATATAAAAACATACATTTATGCACTACAAACTAGTGCATATCAGGTAAATGCCCCAGGGTGTTGAAAACACCTATAAATAGCCCCATTTTCCTTCACTTTTAATCATTCCTTCTTCCATACTCTTAAGCTCAACTTAGAATAGTATTTCTTTTATATTTTTATAGCATGTTTAGTCTCCAAATGAGGAGCTAAACGTCCATTTCTTGGTGTTGCTCTTGAAGCTTGTTGATTATTAAAGTTGTGAGTTATTTTCTTAACTTCTTCCCTTGAATATTAATTCTTTCTTTAAATACTATTTCTATATCAATGTTGAGGAGTGTTACTAAGATGACAATTAGTTAACATCTTAACATTAGTTATAGTAATAGTTATTTCTTCCTCTATGTTAATATTGGGGAGTGTTACTAAGATGACAATTAGTTAACATCTTGATATTAATTATAGTAGGATTCATCTTCAATTCTTTAATATTCTTCTTTGAGTATTAACTCTTTCCTTATTCTATCTCTATATTAATGTTGGGGAGTGTTGCTAAGATGACAATTAGTTAACATCTCGACATTAATTACTACTAGAGACGATCAACGAACCGATGGTTAATCGTTGATGGTTTCACAAGTAAGTAACTTCGGTTTATTAATGCACGGTCGTGGTTAATAAACTTAAGAGAGATTAATTTTGTTGGTTAAAACGAAACTGTTGTGTTGAGGTTATCAATCTCAATTTATTTCATCAAGGAGTTAAGAGATTAAATGCTACAATCAAGTCGGTATATGGTGATGTTCTATACTTGACTAATAGTAAGGGTTATTAATGAACGGTCGTTGTTTATAACTACTCTCGATGAATTGGATATACTCCTCGATTGAGTATTCGAGAGGGAATAAGTTATAGATATAACAATGATCGACTAAAATATATCAACAAGTGGAAAGTAGCAATGCCAAGTCCTTTTTATCTTTGAATTAAATCACATATAATTCGTTCATCTTCGTATTTAATTAAATTAAATCATTCAATCCTAAACCCCCCTTTTATTTACTAGTTTTATAAAAAGAGAATTATTCTTTTCCCTGTGGATACGAACTCTACTTCACTATACTACATATTAGTGTTAGTATTGAATTTATTTTGACGCACCGTGACAAAGTGCACGTCAATTAACTTTGGAACATTCTTCTAAATCTATTATAGTATCTGCTCATGTTTATGTCAACGTCCTTGATTGAGACAAGACTTGGACCTGCGATCTTTTCTATGGGAGATCAGCAGTGATGACATCAGACCATAAGATAGTTGGCCTATTGAATTTTTAATTATTTGGGATTGGCTAGTGATATCTCAAATCTATCATATTTGATTTATTGATTTCAATACGGAGTATATATCTCCAATTTCATTCCAAAATACCGCAACTAGCCCCATGGCCCCCGTGGCAGATGGCCCCGCGGTTCACAATACTCATACGCCATATCTAGGAGTAGATGGTAGCTTTGGCACAAACGGGAAAATTTATTTTCGTTTTGTTGCTAGCAGCTTCTCTTATTGAATGAAATAATATCTTCAACTTTCATTACTAGTCCAACTTTTTCCTTTTCTTTCTTTTAGACTCAACAATGCAACTCAATATTTACGTTACCAAAACTAACTCATATCTTTAATAGTTAATGACAACATTGGTAGCCATTATTGGTGGCTAAATGGCTAATGGCTATCGTAGGCAGTAAAGTTAACAATAGAAATCAATGTAGTCATCTCATTATTCATTAATGATCATTAAACGGTGACAAAATCGTAGCCAGAACACCGGACCCAACGGGCCGGACATTTTTTACACTAATAAATAAGACATTTTTTAAATTTTGGGTACAACGGGACTAGTGAATGGTTGGCGGTCAATATAATGATGGTGGTGAGCTCCAACAATAATCAATGATGGTGGCAGTCAATGGCTCTGATTTTGGTTCAGGATAAAATATATAGGTTCGGAGAGTGCCGTACCAATGTAATTGAAATGGCTTCTCGGTCTTGGCTCGGATTTTTGAGTCGGATAACTTTGAAGGTAATTAAATGGCTTCTCGAATTTGGTTCGGAAGTTTTTCCGAGGCATATTGGGATGTATTTTGAGTCGGATAACTTTATAAGACCATTTGTAGTGGTTGCATATTAGGAGTCAAAAGATTAAAATTGCAAATTTTAGACTCTTATTTGTGTGTAGTGGGGGATTAAAAGGGGGAGTAAAAGTGGGAAGGGGAGTGGAGGAGTGTAAAAATAGAGGGAAGAGTTGACAGAGAAAAAATAAATGAAAAAGAAAAAGAAAATGGGGACCCGCGGACTGCAGCTTCGTACGCTGCATGTTCTGCTGCCAATTAAACATGGCTGACATCATGGTGATGTCGTCATGACGTCACCGCGCACTAAGTGATTATTTCCAACGGCCAGATTTTAAAAAAAAAAACTTTTTTGAAAGATCCGACGGCTGAGATCATTTTGACACTGTTCCAACGTAAAAAAAATGATCCAACGGCTAAAAATAAAATCCAACGGTTCAAATTATTTATTTTATTTTTACATTATTTTTAATTAATATTTGATCCGAAAATTCTATTTAAACACCCCCATTCTTCCTATTTTGATCACACATCTCCCATCTATCTCATTCTTCTTCAATTTTTTTTGTATATCCATATTTTGTAATGTCTTCCTCAAGAAGAGGTGCTAATTGGACTGTTGCAGAGGATGTTGCTCTATGCAATGCTTGGGTTATCATCTCGGAAGATGGGGTCATCGGAATAAATCAACCGGGTGAGAGTTTTGGAACCGAGTTCATGTGCTATTTTCTGAAAAAAGTAGTGTTCATCGGAGTCGGGATTCAATTGAGTCTCGTTTCAAGATCATCAATCACCAATGCTCGTTGTGGAAAGGTTGTGTGCGGAAGGCAAATGCAACCCCGACGAGTGGGGCGAACCTAGCCGATTTGGTAAATTATAAATTACTCCATTATTTAATATTAATTCATAAATTATATTTTAATTTTTTAATATATATAACTCCATATTTATAATGTTATTTTGATTCGTAATGCAGGACTATCAAGCCAAGGTCATTTTCATGAATGATAACCATGGAAAACCATTCAAATTTGAGCATGCTTGGCGTATTCTCCATTCCTTTCCAAAGTGGTACCAACAATACGAAGCTCCGATAAATTTAAATTCCTCTCCAACATCGCCCATGGTCGTAGGTGGTGATGTTAGCTCTCCCTCGGATGGAGAGCCACTACAACGCCCTGAAGGTCGTGACAAGCAAAAGGCGAAAAGAAGTGAAAAGACAAAGGCATCTAAACTAGATCCAGTGATGACGCAATGTTTTCAAGAAATGGTTCAGCAAGGGAGAGAACAATCGGCAAGAAGAGTTGTGCGCGACGAGCTTCAAAACAAAGCCGTGGAGTCGGAGATATTGAAGAACCAGTATAACATAATCTCTGCGGACCTTTCAAAGTTTTCACCGAGGAAGCAAAAGTGGATTCGGGAAAAACAAGAACAAATCATGGGATATTCTCAAAATACATCAAGTGATGTTCCCAGCGCTTCCGTTGAAGAAGAAGTCTACCGTCCCCACTTTGATTTCTAGTTATTTGTGTGTTGTTGTTTTGATTTGGTATTGTGTTGTTAGTTTTATTTCATGTATGTTTGAATTTTAAATTTCGTATGTTGTTGTTTTAATTTAAATTTCATGTGTTCTTATTTGAATTATGTGTTGTTAGTTTAATGTTCAAGTGTATTTTTATTTAAATTCGGTGTGTTGTTATTTCATTTATCCATTTTTTAGTTAATAGTCGAGATACTTATTAAATATTTCGAAATATTACTAAATATAAGATTGACACATTATTAAGTAAAATACAAAAAGGATAGAAGTAATTCACACAAACACAAATCTTTTATTAAGGCACGTAAATATTAACGAAATACATAAATATTTAAAGAAACACATAAACATTACAAGTACGAAGTCAAACACTAGTAAATGAAATGGATAAAATACATTAACAATTAAGGAAACATTTAAGGAAACACATAAATATTAAGGAAATACAGAAATATTAAAGACACAAATAAACTACATTCCATTTCCATGGTGCTTCCACAAATGGTTTATGAGATCATTTTTAAGCAATGTGTGTACTGACGAGTCTCGAATTCGATTGTGGCGCATCATATACTGACTCAAGGTGGGACCGTCGTGGTTAAGATCCAATTCAACGGTGGCACCAATATAGTCATAGTCTTGACTGTAGTCCTGATGGGTTGGTTCTTCATCCCTCTCTTCATATTCATCTTCCACTATCATGTTGTGCATTATAATGCATGCCAGCATTATATCACCCAATGTTTGTATGTCGTGCAAGCGTGCAGGACCTCGCACAATAGCCCACCTAGCTTGTAAAATTCCAAATGCTCTTTCAACATCCTTACGAAAAGCCTCTTGCATCGAAGCAAAAAGCCTTTTCTTAGGAGTGTCGGGATGACTTATTGTCTTAACAAAAGTTCCCCAAGAAGGGTAAATCCCGTCAGCTAAATAATAACATTGGTTATAATTCTTACCATCTACCCGGAATCCCACCTGAGGGGCAGATCCATTTACAACAGAATCAAACACGGGAGAGCTAGCTAAGGTGTTCAGGTCGTTATTGGAACCGGCAGTGCCAAAAAATGCATGCCAAATATGAGTATCATAAGAAGCAACTGCTTCGAGTACAATTGTTGGTTTTTTTTTATACCCCGTGTACTGACCGCCCCAAGATGTAGGACAATTTTTCCACTCCCAGTGCATGCAATCAATTGACCCAATCATCCCAGGAAAGCCTCTCTTTGAGGCCTTTTCAAGAAGACGATGTAGATCCCTAGGGTTAGGGGTTCGTAAGTACCAAGAACCATACACACTAACAATTGCCCTACAAAATTTCTTCAGGCATAAAAGTGTGGTCGTCTCACCCAAACGACATAACTGGTCTAAGGAATCAGCCGAGCAACCATTGGCGAGCATAAATATCGCACTAGTGAGTTTTTGTTGAGGAGAAAGAGATACCTTATTTGCAGCATCAGCTGTACTTAGGAAATAAGGATCAAAGGCCATGACATCTGTCATGATTCGATTGAACAAATGTCGTTGCATGCGAAATCGACGCCGGAAGATACGTGCGTTTTAGGTGGGATTTGGATTCCAGTAATCATCCATCAACAAACGTTGTCCAGCTTCTCGACCACGATCTATGTACTCACGAGTGTTGGAGCTCGTTGCAACTAAAGAAGCCATCATAGCCATTCGCATGCGGTCGGAGTGAGCGTCTTCTTCTTCATCTTCATGAATGGATTGGTAAAATGAGGGAAAAGAACTCATTATTTTCTGTGGGAGAAGTTAAGGTAAGTTGTGTGATTCCAATGTAAAGTGAGAGCATGTATTTATAATAACATTTATTCTATGTAGTAACATGGTGGTAAGAGAATCCAATGTAATATAAGAAAGTGTACAGACCAAGTGGAGGATAGATCCAATTAATTATAATTGAATACACCAAGTTGAAAATAGCATCCAATGCTAGGAAAGGACACCCATAGTGGAGAATAGCATCCTATGCTACGAAAGGATACACAACTTGAGAAGATAATCCAATGCTCCAATGTGCTTGAACTCAGTTCGTTAATCGAAAAACGTAAAAAAAAATTAATTTTTTTTACATCGAAATGTGTACTTTTTATTTTATAATTATTTAGGGAAAAAAATAAAAGTAAAACATTACTTATAATAATTTACTTAATGTTTTACTAAATTGATATGTAAAAAATATGCAGAGTGTATTTAATAGACGGCGCACGGATGCAGGAAAAAACAGTATTGACGGAGTCTAAACACTGTTTTCATATGGACGGAGTCCAAATTTAACAATTTGGACTCTTCACCACTACAAATGGTCTAAGGGTGTAAAATAAGTACATCAAACTTAAACTTATAACATATACCTCAAACTTTATATAAAAAGATATATTAGCATCATGATCATATAATTTTTCACAAATTTAATTTTGTGGGGTTAAAGTACATAATTTAAAATTCAATTGTACCAGATTTAATATTATTTATTTCGCAAATGAAATTTTAGAATGTTAACTACCTTCTAACAAGGTTTAGAGTTTTTTAAATTATGTAATTATTATTATTCCAATAAATTTGTATTTGTAAAAGTATATACAATCATGGTGCGAAAATAATTTTATATAAAATTCAGGATATGTATTACATATGCAAGTTTGAGATATTTACCTCACATCTCATTAAAGAGCATTATTAGTATCAACAATATTATAGAGATTTAGAAAAAAGTCAAATGTTATCGGGAAGTGAAGAAAGTAAATGGAAAAAATGGGCAAGGGAACAATAAAATTACGAAACGAAATTGCCTCCAGGACAATACACTATCGAGCCAAACATGATTTTCCAGCCGTCGTGGGTAACAGCGATATGGAAATACCGGCGTCCGGCGAGGCGGTGGGCTGTGATTTATCACCAATTATTGGAGTAGACTACTTCCGCTTCACCTCGCCGCATTTGCACTCGTGGATTCAGCTAGTGCTACGGATCGTCGTGGCAATCGCAACCATAATACGTGTCCCCTTCTACAATCATTGGCCAGCTGAGCTTCGTGCTTCCCTTAGTTTGTTTATGGTGGGTGTTTGGAAAATGGCATTCCAGTCAAAATGGCGATTTGACCCAAACATCTTCTCACAACCAAAAAAATTAGTTACGCCTAGCGTTTTTGGACGAAATCGTTGAAATTAAAACGTTAAAATAGTAGAGTTTTGGGTTAGTTTTTTGAAATATGATGTTTTCTACTAAATTTTGTAGGCAAACAACTAAATTATTAAACATCTTCTGACAACCCACCAACTTATTCCGCTAGCCAAATCCACTAATTGGTCGCTTTCCGCTAACCACTGAAAGTCAAACACACCCTCCTTTTTACTTGGCGTCCTCCTCATTGAAGTCATTTCAGTCCGTTCTGTCATCGTCGTGCTCGACCTTAGACTGGCACAAGTAAGCAGCTCACACAGCTTCTGTATATAATCTCATTCCTTTTCTAGTTTTGAGTTTTTTCGAAGAACACAATTTTATTAAGGAAAAGAAAGAAAGTACTAAGAAGATACGAAAAAATAAGGAAAAACAAAGAAAGGGAAAGTAGTGTAATGACCAACCAGAGCAATAGGAGTCCATTCTAGAATGAAGAGATCCACACGAGATTGGGATTGAGTCCTCACTATATGCGGTCGTTTTGATGTTTTTTCCTAGTTCTGAGTTATTTAAGTAAGGGAGAAGGGGCAAATAAGCCCTCGAACTAATAAAAAAAGTGCATATAAGCCCTTTTGTAGAAGGTTCTGTCCGATCATCGTCATTTGGGGAGGTTCTCGGTGGAATTTTTTGATGAATTTTTTTGAGCGTCTTCTTCATTAAGTATAGTTTGGTCATACCAAATTTCAGCTAAAAATTCAACCGGAAAGGCACTCAAATGATTTTCGGAACTACACTACGTTGTTTAACTGCGCAGTAATCTTCAAAAATTCATTTGACTGTCTTCCCGATTGATTTTTTAGCTGAAATTCGGTATGACTAAACTAGACTTAATGAATAAGATGCTCAAAAAATTTCATCAAAAAATTCCACCGGGAACCTCCCCAAATGACGATAGACAAACGAAACCTCCTACAAAAGGGCTTATTTGCACTTTTTTTATTAGTTCGAGGGCTTATTTGCCCCTTTTCCCTTTAAGTAATGCTTTCTCTATAATGGCATCCTAAATATATTACATCCGTTTATTTAGAGCATGTTTGGTAGTACAACAATTGGCTCTATCGATTGATTCTGCTTAAATTTAGGGAATTCTGGTTGAAATGGTTGGATTGTCTGATTCTGTTGAATTATGTAAAAATTATAATTCAAAATATTTTATTAATAAAATAAGAAAAAATTATATATATAAAATAGCTAAAATGGTCTACAGTAACTTCAGCCAATACAGCCAGAAAAGTAACTTCAATCTTACTTTTTCTTATTATTGCACGGTCCAGCGTGCAGAATCAAAAGTTACGTGTTTAATGAAAAAGATGACTGATAAATCTGATAAGTTGAAAACATGCCTACCAAACGGGCTCTTAATTTCTGGATTTGTTTCTAATTTGAGCAAATTGTGGGTTCATTTATTAAGCAACCCTTAAAGATTTCACTGATAATCAAGATGTTTTCTTTTGGATTGTTTTCAGTCCCAGACCAGACTAGACTTAAACAGACCAAATCAAACCAGACCAGACTAACACAAACCAGACCAGACCAGACCTGGACAGTTATAAAATACAAAGAGACCAGACGTTTACTAGACCAGACCAGACCAGTTCAGAGCAGACCGGACCAGACTTAAACAAACCAGATCAGACCAGACCAGCAAATTTCACTCCAAGAGAAAACATCCTCAATCTATATAAAAAGATTGTGATTTCTATTTTTGGTAGGATGATACTTTAGTAAAGGATTAAGGTTAAGGATACGTATTAATTTTGAAATGATGAGGGGAATGTTAAATTTATATTGGACTTTTCTGGAAACTTTCGCTGCCCGAACTTAATATGTAACAAAAAAAATTATAGACTAACTTAAGATATGATTTACAACGTGACTATGAAACATCACCACTTCCTGATGTTGGCCAGTGGTTGTTTCTGGCATTGAATGAAAAGCTACTTCAAGAAATGGTTGATATATTGAGAGCTGATGTAATTGGAATATGAAACTTTGGATCACTCTTTCGACAATTTCCTCTTCACACGTTACAAAAGTGATGCAACAGTTTTGGTAAATACAAGTTAATCTAAGAAAGTGATAGTGTTGTACTGAACATTAAAGTTTAAGATTAATAAAATATGATATATGTAAATAATAATTTGTAACTAAAACAATTTAAAAGGTTCTTTAGATATCTCAATGTTTATTGTTGTGACTTGTGAGTGAATTTTATGAATAGTCATATTTATATAAATAAGTTTTATTTTAATAATATTCTTGTAAAAAAACCTTTAAAATATACAGAGTACTATCTTCAGAGCATGTTTCGTAACTAATATTTTCAGCTTATCTGTCTTATCCGTCATTTTTGTTTATCAAATACATGACTTTTGATTTTGCTATCTGAATTATATATTAATCAAAATAAGTAAGTTTTAAGTTATTTTTGTGATTGAATTGATTGAAGTTATTGTTGAAAAATCATTGTGGCTTTTTTCAAAAAAAAAAAAAACTTTTATTTATTTATCATTAAATGATTATTTTAAATATAATATTTATGCAAATATGCCAATTAGTGAAATCAGTCGATTGAGTTAAAATTTCATTAGGTGCAATAGATTCAAGAAAAAATTGACAAGAATAATCTCAACTTTCACTGGTCTTTTCATAATAATCTCACATTTACGTAATCTCAAAATAATCCCACATTTGCATCTCATCTTCTTTTGTTCGACTCTGACCTGTTGATGATCTGCTATATCAGGTTTTTTACTCTTTCTTTGAAAACCCTACATAATAAGCCCACCTTTCAGAAATCTGCTCAAAACAGTTCAATCTTTCATTTTTTTTCTCCCTAAAATTTTGTTTTCTTTATTTTCATCCCTAGACACTTTTTATTCCTTTTTCTATCATTTTGTTTGTATTTCTTTTCCATTTTTATTATTATATTTCTTACTCTTTAAGGAAAGTTTTTTTTTGTAATATTTCCTTCCCAAACATATCTTTTTGCCATTTTCATTTTATTCCCGTATTTTTATGTCATTTCCCTTTTTATGTTTTTCTTCTTGATCATTCTCTTCTTTTTTTTGGGAAGAATGTGGCTTATATTAATAAGAACGAACGCAAGCAGGATACAAACCGACAAAGAGCCAAATGCCTACCGTCTGCCCTTGAACCAGACTTAAAACCTGTCACCTCATAAGAAGCAACCAGATTCGCTGATCCTGAATTGGGCTTACTTGAGTCAATGACTGGTAAACAGAGCCCTCTATCACCTGTCCTATGTTCTAGAGTCTTGACCGAAATAAAAATAACAACAAACAAAAGTACTCGATGACCAAAGCAAAATCCAACAGAAAGAAAAGTCAGTCTAAAATTTAGAAAAACTTCATAACTCCAATAGCCCCAAATCTTCACAGGTTTTCGCGGGTCTGGGAATCCCAGCCCGCCTCTTCCCGGTTTTTTGTGCCGTCTAGAGCCATGACATCCTCTCCTGGTTGCTCCTGCTCCTGCTCCAGTGCATCCCATGTCCTCCTCCTCTTCTGTTCTCCCGTTCCACCGCCAGTGGTCCTTGCTTCCTCCGGCTTCGACCCTTCCCCTTTTTCTT